AATGTAAATACAATGGAATAAAACAAAAGAATAAAGCAGAGAATAAAATAACAACAAAACATCATGGCTTACATAACAATTAACAAATTAAAAAAAGTGTATAAAACAAAACATCCTACAAAGGTAGGGTTAATGGGAGATGGTGATTAAACTGAATAAACCTGTTTAAAGATTTAAGAAAATAAAAATCTATAAACAGGAAATTCAAAGTGTAAATGGTGACTCAGCATTCAGACAATTATTAAAACTTTGAGTCTTCTCATATTCTAAATTTGYGTAAAGACTTTCATTTTTTGATTTGTTTTAAGTAATAATGTATTTTTAGCTTTYGTATTAGCAGTAGTATTTTTGTATTGATATGTGGTTGTGGTTGATGCAACTGTCTGCGTGTGACATAACTGTTGCTGCTGTGAACCTGTAATTTCCTGCAAAGTAAAATAAAGTACAAAGTACAACAATAAAGTATCTAATGCAAATCTAGATTCTGATAAGTAACATATTGAAAAAATCCATGCCATGAGGACATTTTGCCGGTCCTCACTTTTTTTTTAGTTCTATTGTGAACAACTAATTAGGTTAGAGAARGTGGTTTTGGTTAAGCTTAYTGTTAGGTATAGACTAGTAATGGTTATGGTTATGGAAAATGTCTGGGTTAGGCATAAATGCAGTTGCAAAAATGAATAGAAGTCAATATAAAGTCAAGGATGTACAAGTATGCGTGTGTGTGTGTGTGTGTGTGTGTGTGCGTGCGTATACTAACTCCACAAGAGCATGTGCCAACGACTCAATGTTCTCTCGGTCCAGGTTGGTGGTAGGTTCGTCCAGGGCCAGGATCCCACAGTTCAGACAGAAAGTCTCTGCCAGGGCGAGACGGATGATCAGGGACGCCAACACCTGCACATCAGATGCCATGATCGAGGAAAAACGAGCACAAAAAGCAAACTGATCAAACAAAACAACTTCACAAACATTTAAAATCTAATCTCTGTTGCACARGAGTTACAATTTGGTTGTTTACATCGTGCATTCTTAAAAATGGTAGCAGCTCTTTTACATGTGAAAGTGCTTTAGCACGAGCGCTAATATTGCTTATCCTGGCACCTTTTGACCAGCACTGCAGCGTCCTCTCATATCCAAAGCTGTGTCTCCCTTCACCATAACAACTCTGTAGTTGTAAACCCTGCGTTTCACTCCAGCAGATGAGTTCTCGTCCACATCAGACCTGATCTCCACATATTCGATATCTGGTTAAAAAAGGCAAAGAGAATACAAAAGTTTAGGTCTGGGTGGAGAACGGCAGAAAAACTTTGACTTTTTATTTTAAATGGGGTGCACCTTGACCCCTGTAGGTGCTGCGCCACAGTTCTCTGACGATCTTATTAATCTCATCCATCTTCATGCTGTGGAACTTCATGATGGTTCTGTAAAAACAAAAACAATAAAAAAACCACAGGTTTAAAATGGGAGAAGACTATCAATATTTCAAGAGCATTTATCTTCAAAAATGATAATAATTTAGGAAATGTAGCAAAGAGGCCCAATATTTTGGAACAAAAACAAAACAAAACAGGACGTTGAAACAAATTGTTCAAACATGAATTACTTTTAAATAAAAATAATACATCCRAAGATGACAGAATTGCATTGTCACCAAGATTTATGTAGGTCAAATCAATTTTGCAAATGTGGTTTTACTCATTTCTGTTTTCTGATAGCATTGCTGCAAAAGCGAAAATGTCAGCAATTTTTTTTTGGTTTCAAAAAAATCTATTTTTTATACATGCCCAGATTTGTCTCGACTTTGTGGACAATCAGCTTTTTTCCTGCCTACTGAGAAATAKTTTGCTTATAACGTTGCAAACTTGTGAAAAACTCCACTGTGGTTGAACTGAACTGAGTGTGATAATGAGAAACACAGGGCTTCTTCTTATGACCATATATGGGAACTAATGCAAAAGATGAAAAGCACACAGAGAGAAGCCCTTATCCATTCATCTGACCTATTGTTTCTGCTYTACGTAATTGCTTATTCAACAAACGTAATGAATGACTACTGGCTTCCCATGACGGTATGAGAGTTCCCCCCAACAGGAAAGCCCAGACTGAAACAAATGTCAAACAGGCAATTAAAAGCTACTTTTCTTTATTACGATTTTAAAAAGACTTTTTAATCCCTTAACGAGAATTAGAACATAATGTTCAAAATTATCAAGTAGAACTGGGGTAAAACTTACAAGTCTTGTTCTGTAAAAAGGTTTACAAAAAGTTAAAATAAAAATTTGTAAACTGACCAGGGTTTGATTCCCCAATGCGGAGGAAATTATTGTACATCTAAAAMAAATATAAGTAGGTCCTCTGGATGGGTTCTTCTTTAGTGAAACATTTCGTCCAGTGTTGCCAACTCCTGAGCAAGAAAAGTCCCAAACCATCATGTCCTAAAAGTCGCTAGATGACATCATCATTTAATTTTCATAGTTGGATATTTGACAATAATTGTGATCTGAGCTATAAGAGAGATGATGAATAGAAAAAGGTGAATAAAAACACTGAATATCTTTAGAACTGCAATTAAACTTAATTAAATAAAAATAATTTTATGACTGTAATGCTTAGATCCACATAAATTAAATTTGTGGGAATCTTAATTTTAATCTGCAGACTGTTAGATGTCATGAGGCACACGGAGGACGAGGTGAAGTAGTGACTGATTTGTGAGTGAAATGCAGCTGGGTCCAGAGGTTTAGTTTAGAGAGACAGTACTAGAGGAAAAAAAAACATTACAGTAAACATTATATCCCGCTTTGTAAACCAGACAGAAGCAGTGACAGCTTTGCGCATGCGTGATTCGTTTGCAGCGGTATCCTCTCAGCTGACTTCAGCCGGGGGTGGGGGTAGGGGTGGGGGATGCTGCACAGCTCCCTGCTTCTGGAGGAGCGGAGGAGGAAAAGAAAAAAGTGCTTGGAAAATGCTGTCACCAAAGCTCCTAAAAGTCTCTAAAAACACCGGGAAAAGTCGCTAGATTTGTCGCTAGTCGCTTTTTGGAAAAAAAAAAGTCGCTAGAGGGGTCTATAAAGTCCTAGATCTAGTGACAAAGTCGCTAAGTTGGCAACAGTGGTTTCGTCTCTCCTCCAAGAGTCTTCTTCAGTCTGATAAGTTTCAGGTGAACTCAGCCTTTTAAGCACTGCCTCCACATGGACACATAGAGAAAAAGAGAGACAAAAACAAGGGGACGTCGAGCCCCGCTTGCACTCACTACATACACATAACAAGACACCAAAGAACCACAGCTGAAGCATCCTCCCGCCATCTCCCTGTTCAGTAGCTCTGATGCCTGTTGTGGAGTCTTTGCAGATACATATATGATAGCGCCATCTGCATTCATCTGACATTTAGCATACTTACTACTCTATGGCAAAACATTAATGTATAAACAAAAAAGAAACGGACCCAAGACGGAGCCTTGTGGAACTCCCATCATGCAGTTTTGAAGGTTAGATTTCATTACATTAACTTTAACACATTGTTCTCTATTTTTAGGTATGAGCTAAACCAATTTATAGCTAACTGGGAAAAATTATATTTACTAAGTTTTCTGTATGAGCACGCCATGATTCACTGTATCAAAGGCTTTTTTCAAATCTAGGAACACTGCACCAACCACCCTGCCATCATCTAAGGATCTTTTAATATT